CTGTTGGAGCTAGGTGTGCATGTTTCAATTGGCCACCTTGATTAGCATTTGATGGCCTGACAGTTTTTAAGTTTGGCTTGTTACTGCCTGGGAAATTCCTTTAAGAGGTGAATTCGTGTTCCTGATTGTTTCTTGTCTGGAATTCCCCTGTGTTTGAGTTCTCTGTTTCTGATGGCCTGGGGAAAGGAATCTGTATAATCCCATAATTTTCATGCTTTTTTTAAATGATAGGAATGACTTGAGAAACTGTAAGTCGCTTCTGGCTTGTGCAAGACTATGTGCAAGGACGTTGCCCAGGAGACACTCGGATGTTTTGCTGTTTGACCATTTTGTGAGAGGCTTTTCTCATATCCCCACATGAGGAGCTGGAGCTGACAAAGGGAGCTCATTCACGTTCTCCCTGGATTCGAACCTCCACCTTGTTGATCATAAGTCCTGCCGGCACAAAGTTTTAGCCATTGCACAACCAGAAACAGAAGAGGGATTATTCAATCTGGAGCAATGGTTACCTGGTCATATAAAAACTGTTGTGCACAGCGCATGCCATCATATGCATGCCATTTTGGGACAGGAGCTTGCAAGCATCGCATCTTGGCCAAAGTGCAATCAACACCTCTCTCCAATGTCTTCGCTTCACTGGTGAGTCTTTGCTCTGGAACTTTGGTTATTACTTATGGTTGTCATAAACGCTCACTCTGGAGACTAGATTAAATATAGTATACTAGCTGTTCCCTGCCACACGTTGCTGTGGCCCAGTCTGGTGATCTGGAAAATAATGAGAAAGTCTTTGTTTCTAATATATGTAATGCCTTTCTGCTTGTGGGTAAACAGTATTTCTTGCTGTTTCTTTGTCAGTGTTGATGTGGAGATTGTCTGGTTTGCCTACTCTGGAACATACAACATATCATTGTCCTTCTTTAGGGGTCCCTTTCAAATCTATGATACTATATCTCTCTGTGTGTGAATCAACTCTATCTACCTTTCTCTATGGCTGGATGGCTCTTTGTCAGGAGGGTTTTGATTACGTTTTCTTGCCCTGGTGAAGGGAGTTGGAATGGATGACCTTAAGTATTTTCTGTTGGTCATGGGGGTTCTGTGTGGGAAGTTTGCCCCAATTCTGTCGTTTGTGGGGGTGTTCAGAATGCTCTTTGATTGTAGATGAACTATAAATCCCAGTAACTACAACTCCAAAATGTCAAGGTCTATTTCCTCCAAACTCCATCTGTATACATATTTGGGCATATGGCATATTCGTGCCAAGTTTGGTCCAGATCCCTCATTGTTTGAGTCCACAGTGCTCTCTGGATGTAGGTGAACTACAACTCCCAAACTCAAGGTCAATGCCCACCAAACCCTTCTAGTCAATGGGAGTCCTATCTGCCAAGATTGGTTCAATTCCATCATTAGTGGAGTTCAAAATGCTCTTTGATTGTAGGTGAACTATGGATCCAAAATGTCAAGGTCTATTTCCCCCAAACCCTACCAGTGTTCACATTTGGGCATATGGCATATTCGTGCCAAGTTTGGTCCAGATCCCTCATTGTTTGAGTCCACAGTGCTCTCTGGATGTAGGTGAACTACAACTCCCAAACTCAAGGTCAATGCCCACCAAACCCTTCTAGTCAATGGGAGTCCTATCTGCCAAGATTGGTTCAATTCCATCTTTAGTGGTGTTCAAAATGCTCTTTGATTGTAGGTGAACTATGAATCCAAAATGTCAAGGTCTATTTCCCCCAAACCCTACCAGTGTTCACATTTGGGCATATTGAGTATTCTTGTAGAGTTTGGTCCAGATCCATCATTGTTTGAGTCCACAGTGATCTTTGGATGTAGGTGAACTACAACTCCAAAACCAAAGGACACTGCCCACCAAACCCTTCCGGTATTTTCTGTTGGTCATGGGAGAGCTGTGTGCCAAATTTGGTTCAATTCCATCGTTGGTGGGGTTCAAAATGCTCTTTGATTGTAAGTGAACTATGAATCCCAGCAACTACAACTCCCAAATGACAAACTCATTTTTTTTGAGTGAAGGACATACATTGGGTTGTTAGGTGTCTGCTGTCTAAATTTGGTGTCCTTTCCCCCAGTGGTTTTTGAGTTCTGTGAATACCACAAACGAACATTACATTTTTATTTATATAGATTGTATTGATGCTTTGCGATGGTGTTTGTTTATTCATAGTTGTGTTTTATGTTCATTTTTCCAATAAAATAAAATAAAAAGAGTAGAAGCAGAGGAGTCATTGGTAAGAACAGCCAACTGGCTTTTAAGGTGAGTTTCAGAGGTCAGATATGCAGATGACACCACTCTGATGGCCGAAAGCGAGGAGGAGCTGAGGAGCCTTCTAATCAAGGTGAAAGAAGAAAGCACAAAAGCCGGGTTGCAGCTAAACGTCAAAAAAACCAAGATTATGGCAACAAGAATGATTGACAACTGGGAAATAGAGGGAGAAAATGTGGAGGCCGTGACAGACTTTGTATTTCTAGGTTCAAAGATGACTGCAGATGCAGACTGTGGCCAGGAAATCAGAAGACGCTTCCTTCTTGGGAGGAGAGCAATGTCCAGTCTCGATAAAATAGTAAAGAGTAGAGACATCAGACTGGCAACAAAGATCCGCCTAGTAAAAGCCATGGTATTCCCTGTAGTAACCTACGGATGTGAGAGCTGGACCTTAGGGAAGGCTGAGCGAAGGAAGATAGATGCTTTTGAAGCTGTGGTGTTGGAGGAAAGTTCTGAGAGTGCCTTGGACTGCTAGAAGATCCAACCAGTCCATCCTCCAGGAAATAAAGCCCGACTGCTCACTGGAGGGAAGATACTAGAGACAAAGTTGAAGTACTTTGGCCACATCATGAGGAGACAGGAAAGCTAGAAGACAATGATGCTGGGGAAATGGAAGGAAAAAGGAAGAGGGGCCGACCAAGGGCAAGATGGATGGATGGCATCCTTGAAGTGACTGGACTGACCTTGAAGGAGCTGGGGGTGGTGACGGCTGACAGGGAGCTCTGGCGTGGGCTGGTCCATGAGGTCACGAAGAGTCGGAGACGACTGAACGAATGAACAACAACAACAGAGGTCAGAGCAGGAGACGGAGCAGAGCTCCAATGGGCTCCCATTATGATCTAGCAGTTTCAGCACCTTCTTGGGAGGGTGTTGTTGGTTTTATCGATTTGTTCCCATAAACCCAAGTTGCATCAACATGTTTGCAGGGCACGGGCAGATCAATTTAAACAGCAATAAATTCTTGCATGGGCGCCACGGTGAACGGCATTTTGTATTGTCACAGCTTCCTTCCCGGTCCTCGGAAACGCATTATGTTCTGGGACAGAGCTCAAGCTGGCATTATGCGCCACACGTTTTGTTTTCCTGCCAGAGAGAGCCTTGATTGCTCCTTACGTTCTGAAGAATGTAATCTCACAGCTGCCTCGTTTGTCAAATTGTCTATTCTCTTTCTCTTTTTTATGTCTCCCCCCCCCCTCCGCCCCCAGGAGCCCAAAGGCAGTGTGGCTCTCACACCAAAATCAAGTCACCAGGCTGCTTTGCTTCCAGAAGATGGAGGACTGTCTGGAGAGGAGGAGGAAGGAAAACCATGGCTTTTAATGGGAAAGGGAAAACAAATATAGGATGGTGGCACCAGGCTTCAAAATAGTCAATGTGAGAAGGATTTAGGACAATGGTTCTCAACCTGTGGTTCCACAGATGCTTTGGCCTACAACTTCTAGAAATTCCAGCCAATTTACCAGCTGTTTCCACAGCAAGCTGGCTTCAGGAAGGGCAAAAGCTGCATATCGCAAGGGCTGAACCTGACTCAGCACATAGAAGATGGCTTTGAAAGGAGCTGTCTTCATAGACCTGTCAGCAACTTATGAACAACTGCACTGCATCCTGTCAGATCCCCAAAATCTGGAGGAAAGCAAGAGTCATCGCCATCTTAAAGCCAGGCAAAGACCGTAATGATCCAAAAAGCTACAGACCAATCTCCCTGTTGTGCCACCTCTAAAAAGTTCTGGAGAGACTTATTTTGCATAGAATTATGGAAAAAATAGACCCCTGTCTGACCCCATAGCAAGCTGGCTTCAGGAAAGGCAAAAGCTGCACATCGCAAGGGCTGAATCTGACTCAGCACATAGAAGATGGCTTTGAAAGGCAGCAGATCACAGGAGCTGTCGTCATAAACCTGTCAGCGGCTTATGATTCTGTCAACCACCGCCTCCTCCTGAGAAAAATGTATAATATCACAAAGGACTACCACCTCACCCGCCTCATAGGAAGCCTGCTACAAAACAGGAGCTTTTTTGTTGAGTTCCAGGGCCAAAGAAGCAGATGGCGGAAACAGAAGAATGGCTTGCCTCAGGGGAGTGTGCTTGCTCCATCCATGTTCAACATTTACACTGATAGAGGGAGCTCATCCGCGCTCTCCCTGGATTCGAACCTGCGACCTGTCGGTCTTCAGTCCTGCGGCATAGGAGTTTAACCCACTACGCCACCGAGGGCTCCTTCCCACAAGAATGATAAAACATCAAAACATCCGTCTGTCCCTGGGCAACATCCTTGCAGATGGCCAATTCTCTCACACCAGAAGCAATATGCAGTTTCTCAAGTCGCTCCTGACACGAAAAAAAAATCATTGGTGGAGTTCAGAATGCTCTTTGATTGTAGGTGAACCATAAATCCCAGCAACTACAACTCCCAAATGACAAAATCAATCCCCATCCCCAACCCCAACAGTATTCAAATTTTGAGCGTATTGAGTATTGGTGCCAAATTTGTTCCAGCGAGTGAAAACACATCCTGCATACCAGATATTTACATGACGATTCATAACAGCAGCGAAGTCACAGTTATGAAGTAGCAATGAAAATAATGTTATGGTTGGGGGTCACCACAACATGAGGAACTCTATTAGGGGTCGTGGCATTAGGAAGGTTGAGAACCACTGTAGTAGATGAACCCATCTCTCTGCCCCTCCCCTGATAAACTCAAAATAAAGAAACTGTATTCCTTTCTTTTTTATATATAAAAGCAATTTATTGTGGTTTACTTGCACCGCCTCCTGGTTCAGTGTACAAATGTAAACAGAGGTTGGTTGGTTTGTTACGTACTGATGTATTTAGCGTTAAATGTACATTCCATCCCCAGTTTGTTTAAAATAATGACGGTCTTTTTTTTAGCATACAGGCAGGGGTGAGGAAAAAAATTACTAAATCATATTCACAGAATATACATAGCCGTGCAGTTAAGCAGTCTCACCAGCTCTAAGCCAGTGGTATAGATACGGGTCCGTTGGCTCGACTTCTGCTCCGGAAGTGGACGCTGGACTCTGTCATGTCTTCAACGTGGTCGTCGCTCTTTTTTTCCTTCAAGCTGTTGATGAACCGCAGAGTGATTTCATCCCATTCCTCTGGAAGGAGAAGCAGCAGGAAGCCAAGGCAGATGATAATGGTGGCCCCCAACCTCACGACGCTGAAGATCACCTCGCGTTTCAGCAGATCGACGGCTATGCAAAGAGGGAAATAAAGGAAAAAGAATGGGTTTGAATTCACCACCAGTTTTACACATGAAACTAATAAATGGCTTCCATGTATTATCAAAGAGATCTTAATGTATTGTCGAAGGCTTTCATGGCCGGAATCACTGGATTGTTGTAGGTTTTTCCAGGCTATATGGCCATGTTCTAGAGGCATTCCCACCTGACACTTCGCCTGCATCTATGGCAAGCATCCTCAGAGGTAGTCAGGTCTGTTGGAACTAGGAACATGGGTTTATTTATCTGTGGAATGATCAGGGTGGGACAAAGGACTCTTGTCTGCTGGAGCTAGGTGTGAATGTTTCAACTGACCACCTTAATTAGCATTTGAGGGCTTGGCAGTGCCTGGGGGAATATTTTGTTGAGAGGTGATTAGATGTGCCTGATTGTTTACTCTCTGTTGTTTTGCTGTTGTAATTTTGGAGTTTTTTAAATATCAAATATCAAAATATTAAAAAACTCCAAAATTACAACAGCAAAACAACAGAGAGTAAACAATCAGGCCCATCTAATCACCTCTCAACAAAAGATCCCCCCAGGCACTGCCAAGCCCTCAAATGCTAATTAAGGTGGTCAGTGGGGGATTTTAACATCGAGATAAGTGATTTTAATCCTTTTGTATGTGTATGGTCTAATATGTTTCGGCATTGAATGTTTGCAGTTTATATGTTGTGCTCCGCCCTGAGTTGCCTTCAGGATGAGAAGGGCGGAATATAAATGCTTTGAATAAATAATAAATAAATAAATTTCTTTTTTCTCTTTTTTCTTTCCCCACTTCCTCCTAATTATATTGTTCTCCCACTTTTTATGCGAAGGAAAAATTATCTTTCTCTTTTCCTGGACCTCTTTTATTCTCAATAAAAAAAATTAAATTACAAAAAAAAAGAGTGCTAGTGCCTCACCAAACTATAAATCCCAGGACGATAAACCCCATAATCCTCAGAATCAAGGCCAACCAGCAGATTCCGGGTGTCATAAGCTACCTTTTTTTTTACGGATGTGAGAGCTGGACCATAAGGAAGGCTGAGTGAAGGAAGATAGACGCTTTTAAACTGTGGTGTTGGAGGAACATTTGGAGAGTGCCTTGGACCGCAAGAAGATCCAACCAGTCCATACTTCAGGAAATAAAGCCTGACTGCTCATTAGAGGGAAAGATAGTAGAGGCCAAGATGAAGTCCTTTGGCCACATTATGAGAAGACAGGAAAGCTTGGAGAAGACAATTATGCTGGGGAAAATGGAAGGAAAAAGGAAGAGGGGCCGACCAATGGCAAGATGGATGGATGGGATCCTTGAAGGGACTGGCTTGACTCTAAAGGAGCTGGGGGTGGCCACGGCCAACAGGGAGCTCTGGCATGGGCTGGTCCATGAGGTCTTGAAGAGTTGGAAGTGACTGAATGAATAAACAACAAACCATTTTCTGAACTCTATAGGGTGGCTTGTTTGACGCACTGATAAATGGACATCTACCTGCATTGCCAGGAACACTGAGCACTGTCCCAATCGATATTAAGATGGGATATGTAAGCACAACACCGACGTTCACCAAAATGTTGAAAGCTGAAAAGAAAACAAAGAACTATTATAAAGTTATCTTTGACTGAATCAGAATCTGCAAGGAAATAATATCTTAATTTTTTGATAACTGTAGAGGAGAAATAATTATTATATTACCAAGTGACCTTTGTGAGTTTAGTTCAGTCTTAGATGTAGAAAATACGTATATTTGATGGGTTGCTGTGAGTTTTTTGGGCTGTATGGCCATGTTCCGGTAGCATTCTCTCCTAACGTTTCACCTGCATCTATGACTGGCATCTTCAGAGGTCTGTATATTTGATGTTTTATATTGATGCAGACATTCCTGTGATTTTCATTATACTTTGGGCCTTTCCCCTTATTTTGTATACCTTAAATGTAGTTTTATGCAGCTACAATTTGCGTATAACGAAAGAAATAATCAACCATGGATCTTTGAATTTAAGCAGGCTTAGCTCTAGAACTACATTGATGCCTCTTCGGCCTCATTGTCCCTCTGGCCTCTTCATTTTTAAGATATAGTGCAGATCCTCCACTTTTGCAGAGATTAGGGGTGCAGGATCCCCACAAAAGTGGGGAAATTGCAAATAGATACACACTAATTTTTTCCCTAATTAGAGATCTCCAGGTCCTCTAGTGCAATTTTCTTTGGGAGTGTTATTTCCTGCTTCATTGTGCGGTGTTTACTTTGAATGTAGTTGCTATACTCCAGAAACTTAATTTTTCTGGATGCCACAAACTAGGGTGAATTGGTTGAGACTCCATGAGATATTCATTGAAAAACTAGAGCAAAATGTGCTATAGCAGGATGTCCCTCCCACAAAAACAAAGTTTTACAAACTTTTCCCATGTTTTTACGATAGAACCAATTAGTAAATGATATTTATAACCCAGGAACAAAAATCATTTTACATATTAAACAAATCTACACAAGTTAAACCCACAAATGTGGAAGGCCAACTGTACTGCCTCTGATTATGGGCAGTTCCATTTAGTCATCATATCTGGTAGCTGTTGGCATCCCTCTCCCAGCAAGCAGGAGATCACACTCCATCAGGTATGGGCAAACCCAGGCCTGGGAGTCGGATGTAGCCCCTTGGGATAGGGGAAAGTACGTCGTGTAAACAAACTGTAGGTGGAAACTAACAAAATTGGTTGGGTGGTACCAAATGGGTTGGGAGGCCCTTCTCTCTCTCTCACCACCTGTTCTGGTACGGCTGTACCAGGAGCTCCAGCTTCTTTTTCTTTCTTTGAGTGTTTGCATGTACTTCAAAGTTCCATGCATTTTCCTATAAGGTGGCTTTCCTTGATTTACAATTATAGGGCCAATGACCCATCAATCATCATTAGGTTCTTTGGTTCCACCCCTTTCCCCAGGGCTCTGGGAGGGAAAGAGAACCATTTTAGTTCAGTCCACACAGAGAAGTCTTTCGCACAGGACGTGAATCAGTTTCACCTGTAGAAAGCTTTGTCTTTTACAGCTGCTGCTGCGGAAATACAGCCAGCTTTTGTTGGGGAAATTCAGCCCCACAGCTCTACAGAGAAGTATAGCTTTTGCTAGGGGAATCCAGTCCCACAGCTTTACAGCCAGCCTTCGCTAGGAATTGAAGACCTTCTTTCCTCTTGGAAACCTACAAAAGGAATCTGTTTGGTAAGACCACTTGCAGCAGCCATAACGCAATTTGGACCGGGTGTAGGGGCCCACGCCAGTAGAGCCTAAAACCGATTGCCCAGGTAGAGGTCAAGGATTTCCCTGATAGTGAAGAAACAGTTCTTGAAGATAGTTGCCTGTCCCTTGTGGACAAGATTAAGAAAGCCACCAGTTGATTCAAAGCCTTGAAGTATTTGTTTGTATAACTTTGTTTAGTTCCACCCCTTTCCTAAGACCTAAGCACTAATTCCCTGCAGTAACCTACGGATGTGAGAGCTGGACCTTAGGGAAGGCTGAGAGAAGGAAGATCGATGCTTTTGAGCTGTGGCGCTGGAGGAAAGTTCTGAGAGTGCCTTGGACTGCGAGAAGATCCAACCAGTCCATCCTCCAGGAAATAAAGCCCGGCTGCTCACTAGAGGGAAGGATACTAGAGACAAAGTTGAAGTACTTTGGCCACATCATGAGGAGACAGCAACGCCTGGAGAAGACAATTATGCTGGGGAAAGTGGAAGGTAAAAGGAAGAGGGGCCGACCAAGGGCAAGATGGATGGATGGCATCCTTGAAGTGACTGGACTGACCTTGGGGGTGGTGATGGCCAACAGGGAGCTCTGGTGTGGGCTGGTCCATGAGGTCACGAAGAGTCGGAGACGACTGAACGAATGAACAAGCACTAATAAAGAACTTTGTTAAACTTTCCAAGTTTCTAAAGACTTTGCTTAGGGAAATCTATAGGGCTTCTAATCCTCGGCATCCTCGGCGTCCCGTTGGACATACAGAGCACGTCCTGTCTACCTTTTCACAGGCCCAGCACGTGACAGCACACCACCCTCTCTCTTTCCTTCCTCCTTCCTCCTTCCAACCTTTTCTACCTTCTTTACCTCCCTCTTTCTACTTCCAACTTCACTTTCCTTCCACCCTTTTGTCCTTCCTTCTTTCCCTCTTTCCTCCTTCCCCCCTCCTCTCTTTCTCCTTCCTCCATTCCCTTTGGTCTTTCCTTCCTTTCTCCCTTCTCTCCCTCCCTCCATTCCCTTCCACTCTTCCTTCCTTCCATTGTTATCTTCTTCCTTCCCTTCTCTTTTTCCTTCCTCCTTTCCTCCTGAGGGATGTTTAGTTGGGAGAAGACAGAGTTGGGAAGGAACATGAGAAGCATGTTTCAAGATTTCAGAGGGTGTCCCATTGAGGAGAAGGAAGAGGGTGGAAAACTGACTTTCTGCTGCTCTGAGACCAGGGTACAAGTGAGCAATGGGTTTAAATTGCAGGGAAAGAGGTTTGACTGGAAAAAAAAAGGAAGAACTTCCTGGAGAGTGGCATAGGCTGCCTCAGAGTGGGGTGGAGTCTCCTTCTCTGGAGGCTTTTCCACAGAGACTGTCTATTAGGAGCACCTTGATTCTGCCATCCTGAAGAGCAGGGGGGTTGGATTGGATGGTCCTTGGGGTGTCTTCCAGCTCTAGGATTCTATAAACCGGATCGGGGTATAGGGTGGCAACCTGTGTTGGACGGGGTTCCACTCCCCCTGAAGTCACAGGTCCGCAGTTTGGGTGTCCTCCTGGACTCATCACTTATGCTTGAGGCTCAGGCGTCGGCCGGGAGGGCCTTTGCACAATTAAGACTCGTGCGCCAACTGCGATCATTCCTCGTGAGGGCAGATCTGGCCAGGGTGGTCCATGCCTTAGTCACCTCCAGAATGGATTACTGTAATGCACTCTATGTGGGGCTGCCCTTGAAAATGGCCCGGAAATTTCAATTGGTTCAACGGACGGCGGCGAGGTTGTTAACTGGTGCTCCTTACAGGGAGCAGTCAACCCTCCTGTTTAAGGAGCTCCACTGGCTGCTGGTCATTTTCCGGTCCCAATTCAAGGTGCAGGTTCTTACCTACAAAGCCCTGAACGGTTTGGGACCCTCGTACCTACGTGACCGCATCTCTGTGTACGAACCCACACGATCCCTTTGATCATCTGGAGAGGCCTTGCTCTTGATCCCACCTCTATCGCAGGCGACGAGGGAGAGGGCTTTCTCAGTGGTGGCCCCTCGACTCTGGAACTCACTCCCCAAGGACATCAGGCATGCCTCAACCCTGGCAGTCCTTAGGAGGAGCCTGAAAACGTGATTGTTCCAGTGTGCCTTCCCAGAATAAGGAAACTCCCAGCAATATGTCCTCAAAATGCACTTTACTATTGATCTAGAAATGTCTGCATGCCCCATCCCTCTCTGAAAACTCTATGTTAGTTCATATTTCATCTGTTCATGCTCAGCATTATTCTTAAATTTTAATTATTACATTTGGCCCAGCCATAGGTTTTAAATGTCGTTGTGTTACTGCTATTGTTTATTGTTTATTTTTTGTTATGAGTTTTATTTTATTGTCTGAATTAATTGTTGTTATTGCTTTATCATTGATGTATTGTGGGCTCGGCCTCATGTAAGCCGCACTGAGTCCCTCAGGTGATGGTAGCGGGGTATAAATAAAGTTTATTATTATTATATTATTATATCAAGAGTAGGCAATACGAGGTCTAATGGATACAGTTTTTCTCTTTTGTCCATCATCTCATCCTGACCAAAACCATGACAGTACTGTTGTTTAACTGTGATGAAATATTCCTTATAGTTTAAACTTTGTGTTCGGTGTAAAAAAGTAATGCTGTGCAAAGGTTAAGTGCACAAAGCTTTGATTTATGCCTAGAGCGTAACTTTGGACAGTTCCTGTTACGTCATGCATTCCTCCAGTGTTGAGATAACAGCTCTGCCATTTTCCAGCGATATCCAGCAAACAGGAAAGACGTGTCTGTGACTAATTTTGTACATAGTTTTTGTAGTTTTACTAGAAAATAACAATAAATCTTTAAGTGCCGCTCCGAGGCTTCGGAGCTGAATGAAGGCTGCACGCTTCGTGTGTTCTGTGCCTCTTAGCAGTCGCTCTGAGGCCAATAAATTGATAGGCCAACCCTTGGTCATAACAACTCAAGTGATATCTACAGTGTACGTGCACCATTAGATAGGTATCTGAGACTAGGAGAAAAATTCAAAGACACATTGGAATACTGACATATTTTTTAGTGAACATACCTAGCCAGAGCCCTGCGATTCCACACAGGTAACCCCAGGGCACCGCTGAGAACGGAGACCAGTATTCCACCTTCGTAAAATATAGGATGATGGGAGTAAAAGAAAGGAAGATCAAGTTGAAGAAGCCGAGGGTGGAGATGAAGTGCGCCGCTTCTCCGAAGTTGGCACTTCCAAGGAACATCTTAAACAAAACCTAAGAAGGGAAAGAAGGAGACTGCTGAGGATAGCATGATGGAGAAGGGATCTCAGTGAGAGATGCAGCACCATTTTTATTGAACCTATGTATTTATTTAGTTTATGTTTCACCCTTCTGTTGAATGGGATCCATCAACATGTTATAGAACTTCAAAGTTACGAAGAAACAGAAAAAAATATGCAAAATCTAATGTCTATTCTTATCTATATGACCATCACAGAACAAATCTCAAGACTATTGTTGAAGGTTTTCATGGCCGGAATCACTGGGTTGTTGTAGGTTTTTTCGGTCTATATGGCCATGGTCTAGAGGCATTCTCTCCTGACGTTTCGCCTGCATCTATGGCAAGCATCCTCAGAGGTTGTGAGGTCTGTTGGAACTAGGAAAATGGGTTTATATATCTGTGGAATGACCAGGGTGGGACAAAAGCTGGAGCTAGGTGTGAATGTTTCAAGTGACCACAAAAGTGCCTGGAGCAAACTTTTGTTGAGAGGTGATTAGATGTCCTTGTTTGTTTCCTCTCTGTTGTTGTGCTGTTGTAATTTTAGAGTGTTTTAATACTGGTAGCCAGACTTTGTTCATTTTCATGGTTTCCTCCTTTCTGTTGAAATTTTCCACATGCTTGTGTATTTCAATGGCTTCTCTGTGTAGTCTGACATGGTGGTTGTGAGAGTGGTCGATGCAGGCGAAACATCAGGAGAGAATGCCTCTAGACCATGGCCATATAGCCTGAAAAAACTTACAACAACCCAAATCTCAAGACTGTTTGTTGTTTACAAGGATGTTCTCAGGGTTTGGCACCATAGCTATAATATCAGACGGGGTGTCCCTGGGCACATAATATTACAGTTGTAGCATTTCTAGCATTGCACAAAAGGCAGAATTGAGATTGTCAATATTGATTTAATCAGGCTAATTGCAACAAACCAGCAGAATTTGTAATTATTTTAATTGCAAATTAATTGAACAAGAATTAATTAATTAATTGAACAAGAAGACATAGTTTTTATAATTTTTATTGTTTATTGCCTTTATGGTTTTTAAATGTATTATGATGTGATTTTTTTTAACCATGTATGTATTTATATATGGCATCTAATTGTTGCCAATTTGTACGCCATCCTGAGTCGCCTTCGGGCTGAAATGGGCAGGATGAAAGTGATGTAAATAAATAAATAAAAATAAATACTCCAACATCCACTAGCTAAAACTGTCTCAACAACCATATTGAATTTGGTTGGCATACTAAGGGTTCCTACAGAGTTTGGTGGTCTCCCATCCAAGTACAAACCCAGACTGCCCCTGCTTAGTTCTCATAGGATCTGGTGCCTTTGGGGTACTTTAGCCCTTTCCATTTTCCACTGTTAGCTGTGCATAGCCGATCTCTCTCTCAACGCCAATAAGCACTAATGTAGACAATGAGAAGAACTCATCAACGTTAATCTGTCCGTCCTGAAATAATAGAGTTTTCATTAAGGCTTGATAAAGGGAAGTCAAGCTGAATCCTCGGTGGCGACAAACTAATTATCTGTGTTGTAACTTTCTTCCAATGCCCCTGGCTCAGAATGCAAATGAGGCAAGCCCATCATCCCAGACCAATCTTGTTTTGCTTTTGAGTGTGTGTGTGTAATTTGAAGCTTTTTTAAGATGAAAGAAAAGCCAACAACCTACTTTATAAAGTGCCGAGGTCGACGCAGATCCGACAGCATATGCGACACCGATAATTGAATCGCCATGGACCCCATCTGCATAAGCCATCATAACAATCCCGGTGATGGCCATTATTGCTGCAACTATCTGTGAAATCCAGGAGAAAAGAGAAAGAAGGTGATGCAATGGAGGTGTGCACGTTTCTTTTGATTCCATAATCTTTCCAAGTCTCTTCTCCCCAACAGTGATAAGCAACAGTGTTCACTCTGGAAACCAGACTGGGCCAAACAGGAGGATCCCATCGAGCTGTCTAGATTGCTCCAAGGTCACAGAATGGTCCAGACTTTGTATGCTACACTTCACCCCTTTCTTGCTTCACTTTCTATGTGGCTTGAATGTTCTTAGCAGCATCAGCATTGAGAGCATGGCGAAGAAGTGGCGACTGAAGTACAGACTGGGTTGTGGTAGGTTTTTTCGGGCTATATGGCCATGTTCTAGAGCAGTGGTTCTCAACCTTTCTAATGCTGCGACCCCTTAATACGGTTCCTCATGTTGTGGTGACCCCCAACCATAATATTATTTTTGTTGCTACTTCACAACTACAATTTTGCTACTGTTATTAATCATAATTTAAATATCTGAAATGCAGGATGTATTTTCATTCACTGGACCAAATTGGCACAAATACGTGGGGTTTGCAGGGGACTGATGTTGTAGACAGGAAAGAGGGTGTACGGTATAGAGTAGTGTAATACTTCTCATATAGGTATTCTATTTATCCACTTTTCACAAAGTATACTCATAACATATTAAGTAGTATAACTCACATAATTTTACTCCAAACTTGCTAAGATTCTCAAGTATAACTAAGGCTTCCAACTAGGTTAATAATGCATACTTAACATAAAGTTGTACATATAGGTAACACTTATTCTAGCAGTACAATAGTAGTAGTATAGGTTCTGTAATACAACCAAAGTTCAAAAACAGTCTTGAATCTGTTCTTAAATCTTCATGGAGTCAATAAACAAATAAATTCACATATAAATGTTCAAATTCTTCATGCAAGTGAAGTTGACGTGGATTTACTCTTGGGTAAGTCCTTTGCCACAAAATTATAGTTTCAGTCCTTTATAACAGTTGTTGTTCCTAGATGTCAAAGACGGTCACGTAATCTGTAGTGCCGGGTGAGTACGACTGGTTTCCCGGGTACAGGCCAGTTTCAATACTTCCTCAGGTAATTGGCTCTGCCTTCTTATAAGAATAAGTGTTACCTATATGTACAACTTTATGTTAAGTATGCATTATTAACCTAGTTGGAAGCCTTAGTTATACTTGAGAATCTTAGCAAGTTTGGAGTAAAATTATGTGAGTTATACTACTTAATATGTTATGAGTATACTTTGTGAAAAGTGGATAAATAGAATACCTATATGAGAAGTATTACACTACTCTATACCATACACCCTCTTTCCTGTCTACTGCATATTATAGACATCTGTGTGTTTAGTTAGGGGATTGATGTTGTCATTTGGGAGTTGTAGTTGCTAGGATTTATAGTTTACCTACAATCCAAGAGCATTATGAACTCCAACAATGGAATTGAACCATATTTTGCCACACAGAACTCCCGTAACCAACAGGAAATACTGGAAGGGTTTGGTGGGGGGGGGGCTTCAGCCCCCCCCCCCCGAAATTCTCATGGTGGTTCGCGAAAAGGCCTTACTGGCGCATTATTTAAACTGTTATGTTTATTCATATCATGATCTGATCACCATACTCAATATATCCCATATGCATGGGGGTATTGGGGTAATGATACAAAAGGTTTGCTAGGCTAGACCCTCTTTCACTCAGACTCAGCCCCCCTGAAACTCAGCCCCCCCTGAACCCCTCCCCCTGAAAAAAATCACCCCGCACCCACCCAAAACAGAACTCCCATGACCAACAGAAAATATTGGAAGGGTTTGGTGGGCATTGAGCTTGAGTTTTGGAGTTGTAGTTCACCTACACTCAGATAGCACTGTGGACTCAAACGGTGATAGAGCTGGACCAAACTTGGCATGGGTACTCAATGCCCAAATATGACCATTGGTGGAGTTTGGGGAAAATAGACCTTGACATTTGAGAGTTGTAGTTGCTGGGATTTATAGTTCACCTACAATCAAAAGCACTTCTGATCCCACCAATGATAGAATTGGGCCAAACTTCCCACATAGAACCCCTATGACCAACAGAAAATATGTTTTTGGATAGTCTTTGGTGACCCCTCTGAAACCCCCTCGTGACCCCCCCAGGGGTCCCGACCCCCAGGTTGAGAACCACTGTTCTAGAGGCATTCTCTCCTGACGTTTCACCTGCATATATGGCAAGCATCCTCAGAGGCAGTGAGGTTGAGGATGCTTGCCATAGAAGCAGGCGAAACGACAGGAGAAAATGCCTCTAGAACATAATATAATAAAAATAATAAACCTTTATTTATACCCCGCTACCATCTCCTGAAGGACTCGGTGCGGCTTACAAGTGGCCGAGCCCAAATATATCAGTAAAACACAACAACAACAATACAATAATAAAAAAACAACTCATAAACAAAGCAAAAAAAACCCCCATAAACAATAACATCACTGCGCATTAAAACCAGTGGCCAGGCCAAATGTAGTACTTAAAATCTTTTAAAATGTTGGGCATGATCAGGTAAAATAGGATAGACATTTTAGGGATAGGTGGGGCGTGCAGGCAATTCTAGATCTCTAATAAAGTGCATTTGGGACATATTGCTTGGAGTTTCCTTATTCTGGGAAGGCGCACTGGAACAACCACGTTTTCAAGCTCCTTCTAAAGACTGCCAACGTTGGGGCCTGCCTGATGTCCTTGGGGAGTGAGTTCCAGAGTCGAGGAGCCACCACCGAGAAGGCCCTGTCCCTCGTCCCCACCAATTGCGCTTGCGATGCAGGTGGGATCGCGAGCAGGGCCTCTCCAGATGATCGAACAGATCGTGTGGGTTCGTATACAGAGATGCGGTCACGCATCTCTGTATACATGGCCATATACCCCGAAAAAACCTACATGGCCATATACCCCGAAAAAACCTACAACAACCCAGTGATTCCGGCCATGAAAGCCTTTGACAATACGAAGTACAGACTTCCAACACACATCTACACTGACCACTCATTTTGAAGGCAGCTTGACAGGTTTGTGATGATTCATGCCACAATATGCATTAAGGGCTTTAAACTGGGATAAGCAAAGTCAGGAGATACTCTGAAACAGAGCTCATAATGCACATCAGTGCACCTAAACAAAACATGGCAAAACAGATTGAGGGATGTGTGGTCCGGTGGTCCATATTTGCACGTTGTGGGCAAGGAAAGTGGGAAAAACCTGATTCTTCTACAGCCTTGAAGCCTACACATCCTGGAACCAGTTTGAGGCCAGACTCTGTGGTGCATATAAGCACCATCCGTGCTTCGAACCAGTTTCAGGACTTCACATGTAAAATCATCCATACAGTGAAATTGTTTCCTTCTCGGCTGGTTTCACACTGACCTAAATGGCCAATGTAGATATAATAATAATAATAAACTTTATTTATACCCCGCCACCATCTCCCCAACGGGGATTCGGAGCGGCTTACGTGGGGCCAAGCCCGAACAACAATTTACAATACAAAAAATACAAAATTACAATAAAATAAACAACATAACATAAAGTATAAAACATCAAAGCAAATAAGCAATATACATAGAATATAAAAACCAAACATAACATAATGACAGAGATATGCACTCAGTTTCAGGTTGCAAGGGTAGTCTGCAATGAAGGCTGAATCTACATTGCCTTTTATTTATTTATGTACTATACTTTTATACCCCCTTTCTCAGCCTATCGGTGACTCTAGGAAGTTTACAACAAGTCAGTACATATAATAGCAAAATTTGGATTGACCATTAAAACAATATAAGTAATGCTACCCCTCTATTCCGCTTTGGTTAGACCACACCTGGAATATTGTGTCCAATTCTGGGCACCACAATTCAAGAGAGATATTGACAAGCTGGAATGTGTCCAGAGGAGGGCGACTCAAAGGATCAAGGGTCTGGAGAACAAGCCCTATGAGGAGCGGCTTAAGGAGCTGGGCATGTTTAGCCTGAAGAAAAGAAGGCTGAGAGGAGATATGATGAAGGCCATGTATAAAAATGTGAGAGGAAGTCACAGGGAGGAGGGAGCAAGCTTGTTTTCTACTACCCTGGAGACTAGGACGCGGAACAATGGCTTCAAACTACAAGAGAGGAGATTCCATCTGAACATTAGGAAGAATTTCCTGACTGTGAGAGCCGTTCAGCAGTGGAACTCTCTGCCCCGGAGTGTGGTGGAGGCTCCTTCTTTGGAAGCTTTTAAACAGAGGCTGGATGGCCATCTGTCAGGGGTGATTTGAATGCAATATTCCTGCTTCTTGGCAGAATGGGGTTGGACTGGATGGCCCATGAGGTCTCTTCCAACTCTTTGATTCTATGATTCTATAAAACCACATTAGGATAAATAAAAACATCATTATCATCAGCGTCTCCTAATTAAAAACGTTGTCCAAATTCCATTGTCAAGTGATTCCATTTCTTATGTTAGTTACTCTGTATTTGTAAATGCTTGCTCGTATAGCCATGTCTTAACTTGTCTCCAAAACATTAAGAGAGAGGGAGCCAATCTAATCTCCTTAGGGAGGGCGTTCCATAGCCGAGGGGCCACCACAGAGAAGGCCCTGTCTCTCATCCCCGCCAAACGTACTTGTGATGAAGTCGGGATTGAGAGCAGGGCCTCCCCGGATGATCTTAAAGTCCTAGATGGTTCATAAGGGGAAATGCATTCAGACAGGTAAGTTGGGCCAGAACTGTTTAGGGCTTTATAGGCTAAAGCCAGCACTTTGAATTGTGCCCGGTAGCAGATTGGCAGCCAGTGGAGCTGACGCAACAGAGGAGTTGTATGCTCCCTGAGTGCCGCTCCTGTTAGCAATCTGGCTGCCATCCATTGGACCAGTTGAAGCTTCCGGACAGTCTTCAAAGGCAACCCCACATAGAGAGCGTTGCAGTAGTCTATACGGGATGTAACCAGAGCATGGAGTACTCTGTGGCTGGATTGGCTTCTAACATCATGGCATCAAAAAGCTGGACATTGAGTCAAAACAACACAATTCCTTCTGTTCTGTCTATCTCTGTACTTTCTATACAAAAAAGCTGTGTATGTGTACTTCGGGGTGAGAATGGTGGAATACAAATAATATGTTATTGTTATTGTTATTATTGTTGTTATTATTATTAGGACTCACTCTGGTCTGAATATCCTGGACTAGATGGGATTAACAACAGAGCCCCCTTCTACACTGCCATATATTCAAGATTATCAAAACAGATAATCCACAATTTCTGCTTTGAACTGGATTATCTGAGTCTTCACTGCCATATAATCCACTTCAAAGCAGATAATATGGATTTTATATGGCAATGTAGAAGGGGCCAGAACAGAGACAATTGCAGAACTGGTTGCTGATGAGGAATTAATGATGTTGGGTAAGTTGCTACATGTAGGAAATAACAAGAAATGGGTTACATATTACGTTTATAAGACATTTCTTTGCTTCTAACCGCCTTTACAAGTCCTCAAAGCTAAGACACTATGGTACTGCTCCGGCGGGAAGGTAACAGCACTCCATGAAGTCATGCCACATGACCTTGGAGGTATCTTTGAACAATGCCAGCTCTTTGGCTTAGAAAGGATATGAGCACCAATCCTGAGAGTTGGAAACCTTGAAAAACCTTATATGAAATGGCACTGGAGATAGAGGGCCCTTCCACATAGCCATGTAACCCAGAATATCAAGTCAGACAATCCACAATGTCTGCTTTGAACTGGATTATTTGAGTTCACACTGCCATATAATCCAGTTCAATGTGGATTTTATACAGCTGTGTGGAAGGGGCCATAGTAAGCTTCTTTTCCCATTCTGCCTTGAAAACCTTCTCCATCAATTTCTTCCTTCTCCAAGGTGTATCCATTGAAACAATGACCTTTGTGGAATATCTATGGCAAATGTGTGCTCCAGATGCATACATGCCCTGGATCCCACTTTTATGGGACTCTAAATGTCTTCATTCCTCCCCAAAATTGGTGCATTTTTGGGACAATTATTTATTATTTATTTATTTATTTGCTTTATTTCTATACCGCATTTTTCAGCCCAAACAGGCGACTCAATTATTGCCCTAAAATCACACTGAGAGCTCCCCAAATGCATAACAGTGTGCGAAAATGCCCCACGCTACCTTCAAAAGCACCCAAGGACCCGTAGGTCAAGGTAAAGGTTTCCAACTCTCGAGGTTGGTGCTCATCTCCTTTCTAAGCCATTGTCCGTAGATATCTCCAAGGTCAAGTGGCTGGCATGACTTCATGGAGTGCCGTTACCTTCCCGCTGGAGCGGTACCTATTGATCTACTCACATTTGCATGTTTTCAAACTGCAAGGTTGGCAGAAGCTGGGTCAACCAGCTCCCCGGATTTGAACCACTGAGCTTTTGGTCAGCAAGTTCTGCAGCTTAGCGGTTTAACTCAGTGCGCCACTGGGGGCTCCTAAATCTATACTGCCATATAATCCAGTTCAAAGCAGATAATCTGCATATCATATGGCAGTGCAGACGGGGCCTCACATATTAAAAAATCACATCTCCACCTAATAGTTCTAGTCAATATCGTTTGTCTCATCAATGTTCTTCTTTCCGCCACTTTTAGTAGTTTACCATAAAAATTGTTAGCAGCCAATCTTCCCAAGTCAAAAATCGCTGCCAGTTATCTTGAAATCTTTGTATCGATCTGTTTTTACTTCAAAAGCAAGAGACTTTATCCAATTCTGCCAAACTGAGATGTTTAGTCAACCAAGACGTAAGTCTTGACTTATCATCCTGCAGTTGATTCAATGAGACTACAAACTGGATTAAGGGCTAAGCATCCCAGCTATAGATAGATAGTTGAAAAACATATAACAAACAACTATATTAAAACAATAAAACCAATAAAATCTAAGACATCATGAAACATAACCAAACAAGAAAGAACCAATGGCTGAGAAAAGTGGGCATGTGCAGATTTGAGATTAATAGGGCAGGACTAGTGCAACATAAACAGTAAGGCTGGAGGCTGGGAATAAAGTTCTGGAAACCCTACCAAAAGATGAGGGCTAGGCAGACTTGATCAGTAGTTGAGCCATTATTCGAAGGCACATTGGAACATCCAAGTCTTCAGATCTTTCTGAGAGGTAGACAAGGTGGGGGCTAATCTAATCTCCTTGGAGAGAGAGTTCCAGAGCCGGGGGAGCCACCACCAGGAAGGCCTTCTCTCTCATTCCCAACAACCGTACTTGCGACAGAGGTGGGAGTGAGATAAGGGCCTCCCCAGCAAATCTTAGTCATAGAGGGAGATACCAGCTGTTAGGAATTGTGGGAGTTGAAGTCCAAAATACCTGGAGGGCCGAAGTTTGGCCATGCCTAATCTAAACTGTAGAATGAATGTGGTCTGGCATTTCTTGAACTGCCATGGCTCAATCCTATGGAACCACAAGAGTTGTAGTTTGGTACTCTTTGGTAGAGAACACAAAAGGGTTTGTAAAATTGCAACTCCTTTCATTCCATAGCATTTGGACATGACAGTTGAAGTGGGGTAAAACTGCATTCATTCTACAGAATAGATCCATCCTCAACCATGAAAACCATGTATTGTCGAAGGTTTTCATGGCCGGAATCACTGGGTTGTTGTAGGTTTTTCTGGGCTATATGGCCATGTTCTAGAGGCATTCTCTCCTGACGTTTCGCCTGCATCTATGGCAAGCATCCTCAGAGGTAGTCTGTTGGAACTAGGAAAATGGGTTTATATATCTGTGGAACGACCAGGGTGGGACAAAGGACTTTTGTCTGCTGGGGCTAGCTGTGAATGTTTCAACTGACCACCTTGATTAGCATTTAATGGCTTGGAAGTGCCTGTGGGAATCTTTTGTTGAGAGTGATTTGATGTGCCTGATTGTTTACTCTCTGTTGTTTTGCTAAGTGTAATTTTTGAGTTTTTTAATACTGGTAGCCAGATTTTGTTCATTTTCATGGTTTCTTCCTTTCTGTTGAAATTGTCCACATGCTTGTGGATTTCAATGGCTTCTCTGTGTAGTCTGACGTGGTGATGGTTGTGAGAGTGGTCCAGCATTTCTGTCCCTTTGTCCCACCCTGGTCATTTCACAGATATATAAACCCATTTTCCTACTTCCAACAGACCTCACTACCTCTGAGGATGCTTGCCATAGATGCAGGCAAAACGTCAGGAGAAAATGCCTCTAGAACAGTGTTTCTCAACCTTCCTAATGCTGTGACCCCTTAATACAGTTCCTCATGTTGTGGTAACCCCCAAACATAACATTATATTTGTTGCTACTTCATAACTGTAATTTTGGTACTGTTATGAATCATAATGTAAATATCTGATATGCAGGATGTATTTTCAAATCCCAAATACCYGATATGCCCAAATTTGAATAYTGGTGGGATGGGGGTGATTGATTTTGTCATYTGGGAATGTTGGAGTTGCTGGGATTTATAGTTCACCTAMAATYMAAGAGCCTTCTGAACTCCACCAATGAYGGAATTGAATCAAACTTGGCACRCAGAATTCCCATGACCAAGAGAAAATACTGGGAGGRTCTGGTGGACATTGACGTTGGGTTTTTGGAGTTGTAGTTCACCTACACCCAGAGAGCACTGTGGACTCAAACAGTGGTGGATCTGGACCAAACTTGGCACAAATACTCAATATGCCCAAATGTGAACACTGGTGGAGGTTGGGGAAAATAGACCTTGACATTTGGGAGGTGTAATTGTTGGGATTTATAGTTCACCCACAATGAAATAGCATTCTGAATCCCACCAATAATAGAATTGGACCAAACTTCCCACACAGAACCCCCATGACCAACAGAAAATACTATGTTTTCTTATGGTCTTTGGTGACCCCTCTGACACCCCCTCGCGACCCCCACAGGGGTCCCAACCCCCAGGTTGAGAAACACTGGCCATATAGCCCGGAAAAACCTACAACAACCCATGAAAACCATGTTTATAAGACCTGAGCAGGAGGAGGGCTCCCCAATAATAAGGGGGTCTTCCAGGTTTCTCATTCTTAGGGTTATTAAAGTCAAACCAACCTGATGGCAAAACCATAAAAGGGGCAGAAAGGTAAAGTGATCCCTGCCGAATCACAACAAAGACCTATTTATATTCATGTGCTGTCCCACCATTGTCAAGTTCTGGCTACCTCCCAAATCCTGATTGGGCGATACAAAGCACAAAGATGAAAGAAAGGAAACTGGGGAGGTCATTACCCTTACACCCATGAACCTGTCTTTCAAGACAATCCACGAGAGGAGGAAGACGAAGGCTTTGTTGCAACAGAACAACGCGGAGACATCCGTGGCTGTCAGTTTCTTCAAAGCCAGCAGGTAAAGGTAATTACTCAGAGTCCAGAGAATAGAAAAAGGGGCTGTCCTTTTGAGAAAGAGCTTCAGCGTCAGACCGTCTTCCCCAAAGATCCGACTGCATTCCCTGTTTGGAAAAGAAGTGGGGAAGGAAAGAGGTGGAAAAGTCATAGCACAGTCAAATGGAAGGGGAAAAAAATGCCACAATACTTTCTTTGCTCATTTGGGTGCACAGCTTCCTCCCAGCTTGGCAATTTGCATGACAATGATGCTATCTGCCAAAGCAATTCAGATAGACAGATAAATTTCATTATAAAATATTGAAACACTACACTGCCCTGATTGGCTAGAGCCCATGCCATCTCCAAGACACCTTGGTTGCATCTACACTGTAGAGTTAATGCCCATTGACACCACTGTAAATGCCATGACTCATTGCTATGGTATACTGGAAGGAACAGTTGGTGAGGTGCCAGGACTCTTTGGCAGAGAAGGCTAGGGAATCTGTAAAACTCCAGTTCCCATCATTTAACAGCACTGAGCCAGGGCAGTGGAAGTGTTGTCAAACTGTTGTCAAGGTGCCTCAAGCGAAGCCTGATCGGGATCATTGTCCACCTGGAAATGTATGTCCTCATTGAGGCTGGAGCTACACTGTCCTATATCCCAAGATCTGATCCCAAATTATCCTGATCATACACTGAAGACATCTGCCCTTGCGCTATGCTACTCTGCTGCTGAGTATGCATGCTCAGTGTGGAACACATCTCACCACACCAAAAAACAGTGGATGTGGCTCTTAATGAGACATTCCGCATTATCATGGGGTGTCTGCACCCTACACCACTGGAGAAATTACACTGTATTATCTGCTTTCAACAGGATCATACACTGAAGACATCTGCCCTTGCGCTATGCTACTCTGCTGCTGAGTATGCATGCCCAGTGTGGAACACCTCTCACCACGCTAAAACAGTGGATGTGGCTCTTAATGAGACATGCCGCATTATCACGGGGTGTCTGCACCCTACACCACTGGAGAAATTACACTGTTAGCCGGTATTGCACCACCTGACATCCGCCGGGAAGTAGCAGCCAATAGTGAAAGGACCAAGGCAGAGACATCTCCAGCTCATCCCTTGTTTGGGTATCAGCCAGCACGTCAATGACTTAAATCAAGAAATAGTTTTCTAAGATCTACAGAGAAACTCGCTGGAACACCTCAGCAAGCGAGAGTCCAAAAGTGGCAGGCTCAAACCCAGAACCTCAATCAATGGCTGATACCAAATGAGAGACTCCCCCCTGGGCACACAGAAGACTGGGCGACTTGGAAGGTGCTGAACAGACTGCGCTCTGGCACCACGAGATGCAGAGCCAATCTTAAGAAATGGGGCTACAAAGTGGAATCCACGACATGCGAGTGTGGAGAAGAGCAAACCACTGACCACCTGCTGCAATGCAACCTGAGCCCTGCCACATGCACAATGGAGGACCTCCTTGCAGCAACACCAGAGGCATTCCAAGTGGCCAGATACAGATCAAAGGACATTTGATCAACTACCAAGCTTGCAAACTCTGTTTTGTCTGTTTGTTAAAAAATTGTTTAAAATGTAATACAATTGTCTGGTTGATACTGACACGATCAAATCCTGGGATATAGGGCAGTATAGAAAGGGCCTGAGAAAGACCATGCAGATCCAGAATAAAATAGAATAGAATAGTTTTATTTGTTTTTGGGCTATTACATGCCTTCCCTCACAAACACTGCAAAACAACACTCCTTCTCTCCTTCTCTTCACCTCCACCATCACACAGCCCCAATGCCACATCAGTGTGAAACCACGGAGTTCAACCACAGAGTCTGTACAATCATCATCATCATCATCATCATCATCATCATCATCTATAATATAAATAAAAATGTAATGTTCGTTTGTGGGATTAACAGAACTCAAAAACCACTGGACGAATTGACACCAAATGTGGACACAAGACACCTAACAACCCAATGTATGTCTGGCTTGTTGTGAGTTTTCCAGGCTGTCTGGCCATGTTCCAGAAGCATTCACTCCTGACATTTCACCTGCATTTATGGCAGGCATCCTCAAAGTCTGTGAGGTAACAACCTCTGAGGATGCCTGCCATAGATGCAGGTGAAATGTCAGGAGTGAATGCTTCTGGAACATGGCCAGACAGCTCAGAAAAGTCACAACAACCCAGTGATTCCAGCCATGAAAGCCTTCGACAATCCATGTCCTTTCCTGGCAGATAGAAGCTTCCAAAGGCTATCTGCATATTGGACCACCAAGAAAAAAAAACACAATAATTTTTGATGGACAGGAGTGATGGGAGTTCAAGTGAATTTCTCTCCACCAAGAAATGTGTCCATGTCTTTTCTCATTTGACAGAAAGGTATCTGAATATGGACTCAGCAGCTACCCCAAGCATGGGCAAGCTTTAGCTCTCTCTCCAGATGTTTTGGACTTCAATGCCCACAATTCCTAAAAGCCAGTGGGCTGTTAGGAATTGTGGGAGTTGAAGTCCAAAACACCTGGAGGGCCTAAGTTTGCCCATGCCTGAGCGACCCTGACACATATAATACAAACTCACATAATATGCAGGCCTATTGTGTGTTAAATACAGCATGTATGAACATTATTTGGAAGGCCTACCTGAATTTTTTGATTGGTGATTGCTTTTCTTGTGCAGTTGCGAGGTGCCCCGAATAATAAACAGGGAAAAACATAATGTTCCAGTTTGTGGAAAACCAAGTCATGAAAAATGGATAGTCAAAGTTTTTGTATGTGATTTTGACGATCTGCGTCGTCCCGACCCAAGAGGATGAGACGGACAAAATGATCAGAAATCCCCAGACGATCTTGAGGAATGTGGACGTACAGGACTCACACCGGGTCTGAGGGTGGCTCTCCTGGCTGGCGCTCTCACCATGGGCTTGGGTTCCTTCTTCTCCTGCAAGGAAAAACATCAGGGACTGTGTGTCATTGCTGTGTGTTCAGCCATAGGACAGAGCTAGAAGATTCGGCACCATATCCTGCTCCTCATCTGCTAGCACAGTGGTTCTCAGCCTTCCTAATGCTGTGACCCCTTAATGCAGCTCCTCATGTGTTGGTGATCCCCAACCATAACATTATTTCCATTGGTACTTTGTAACTGTAATATTGCTACTGTTTTGAATCGTAATGTAAATATCTGATATGCAGGATGTATTCACTGGACCAAATTTGACACAAATAGCCAATATGCCCAAATTTGAAAATTGGTGGGGTTGGGGGGGGGATTCATTTTGTCATTTGGGAGTTGTAGTTGCTGGGATTTATAGTTAACCTATAATTAAAGAGCATTCTGAACTCCACCAACAAAAGAATCAGGCCAAATTTGGCACACAGAATTCCCAAGACCAAGAGAAAGTACTGGAAGGGTTTGTTGGGCATAGACCTTGAGTTTGGGAGTTGTAGTTCACCTACATCCAGAGAGCACTGTGGACTCAAACAGTGATGGATCTGGACCAAACTTGGCATGAATACTCAATATGCCCCAATGTGAACACTGGTGGAGTTTGGGGAAAATACAAACTTGACATTTGGGAGTTGTAATTGCTGGGATTTATAGTTAACCTATAATCAAATAGCACTCTGAACCCAGCCCAAAATGGATCTGCACCAAACTTGGCACACTACCAACATGGCCAACATTAACTACTGGTGGGGTTGGGGGGGGGGGGCTGTTTTTGAATTCTGGGAGTTGTCATTCACTAACACCAACAAGGATGAGGACAGGCAGAGAGATCTTCAGCCTTCTCTGCCAAATATGTGTTTTCTGATGGTCTTTGGCGACCCCTCTGAAACCCCCTCACCACCCCCCCAGGGGTCCCGACCCCCAGGTTGAGAAACACTGTGCTAGCAAATAGTCTTACTTGGAGGTCTGCAGCAACTAATAATTGGGTTGGCGGAACCATTTGGTCCTTGCATAACCAGTAAAGCATTCTGGTATCTGCAACAGCCCCAAAAAGTGAGCTATGCAGATTTGATAGCTCACTAGTAGGTGCATGTTAGGAAATTATAATAAAAATAACAATAATAGTAGTAACAGAACAATGGATTTGAGAGTGGGTCGTAGTATCTGGTGGCTTCCTATATACCCAATATGTTCAGCACCTTGGATAGCTCCTTTAAAGTACATACCTGAAGAAGATTTACTATCTCACTGATAGCACCTCAGTCACACAACCTGAAGATTTACTATCTCACTGACACCATCTCAGTCACACAAGACACAACTTGCCATTGCTTAAGGGAACGGGGATTGCTCTGGATATCTTTTAAAGGGATGTGGGATAGATTCACCAGAGTCAGCCCAATACCATTGGCTACTTGGATAATGGATAAGATGGCACTTTCCCATTCTTTGTCCATAAGGTAGAATGACTATTTCCTCAATAGAGACAATGGAATGGCATTTTCCATGGCACTTAAGGATGATTCTACACTGCAAAACTAATAATATAATATTAATAGTATTTTTAAAAATAAAATAATAATAATAATTCAGACTGACAGCGTTTTGGAGCACAATACTCCTGACCTCACAACTGTGGAAAAAAACAAAGTGTGGATCGTCGATGTTGCAATCCCAAATGGCAGCAGAATTGACGAGAAACAACTGGAAAAGCTTACACAATATGAGGATTTAAAGATCAAACTGCAAAGATTCTGTCACAAGACAGTCAAGGTGGGCCCAGTGGTGATTGGCACACTGGAAGCAGTGTCTAAAGACCTTGGCCTGCACTTAAAAACAATCAACGCTGACTAAATTACCATCTGTCACCAGCAAAAGGCCACCGTGCTTGGATCTGCACACAGTATTTGCCGATACATCACACAGTCCTATTTATAGGGTTGTTGTAGGTTTTTTTCGGGCTATATGGCCATGTTCTAGAGGCATTCTCTCCTGATGTTTCACCTGCATCTATGGCAAGCATCCTCAGAGGTAGTGACCTCAAGCAAAAAGTGAGTGCTAGAAATAATGTCGTATGAAAGCTGACTGGCACAACCTGGGGATCACAACCAGATACAGTGAAGTGAAGACATCTGCCCTTGCGCTTTGCTACTCTCCTGCTGAGTATGCATGCCCAATGTGGAACACATCTCACCATGTCAAAACATTGGATGTGGCTCTTAATGGGACATGCCACATTATCACAGGATGTCTACACCCTACACCACTGGAGAAATTATACTGCTTAGCCGGTATTGCACCACCTGATATCCGCCGGGAAGTAGCAGCCAATAATAAAGGACCAAGGCAGTGACATCTCTGACTTATCCTGTGGTGTCGCGCCTGGGGGCTATAATTCTTAATGAAGGAGGCATGGACGTGGAACTGGAAACTGGAACTCTCAAAACCCAAAACGCTGTAAATAACTCAAAATAAGTGTTATTGATCACAAAGTTATTTCTTTAAAGCAATGAGCTGGAAACTTCAGAGGGGTGAAGGAAAACATACGTTACAGTCTCAATCAGTCCTGGATCCAAGGAGTTTGAAGCTGAGTAGCTTTTCCAAGTTTCCTCTTTCCTCAATGGCTGTGAATGCCAGAGCAAACCACAACCCCAGTTCAAATGGCCTATGTTTGAAGACTCAGGATCTTCCTCAGGTGCCAAAAGAACTGGTTTGAAGGCGCTTGAGACTTCCAACGTCGTTCAGGTTGGTCTGAACATGAAGCACAAGTCTCAAGGGTAAAAAACCTCAGAACTGGTGCTGAGAGGTAATTTAAATCAGGGTCTTTTAGAGTCAAGTCATTTAGTCACATCCATCTGGTAGAAATTCTGATGGCAGAATGAAAAGAAAGGAAGCACTCCCCTCCTGCAGGAAGAGGTGGAGCCAAACAGTACTGATTGACAGCTATAAGTAACCAATCCATCCAACTATACATAAGCAGGGTAAAAAGGCAGGATTAAGCATGATACAACAGTTTAAATCTTACAACTAACAGTTCTACACACAGGTGGCGCCACTCGTGCCATCACACATCCCCTGTTTGGATATCAGCCAGCATGCCAATGTCTTAAATCAAGAAATAGTTTTCTAAGATCTACAGAGATACTCGCTGGAACACCTCAGCAAGCAAGAGTCCAAAAGTGGCAGGCTAAAAACCAGAACCTCAACCCATGGCTGATATTGGATGAGAGACTCCCCCCTGGGCACACAGAGAACTGGGCGACATGGAAGGCGCTGAACAGACTGTGTTCTGGCATCACGAGATGCAAAGCCAACCTTAAGAAATGGGACCACAAAGTGGAGTTCACAACATGTGAGTGTGGAGAAGAGCAAACCACAGATCACCTATTACAATGCAGCCTGAGCCCTGCCACATGCATAATGGAGAACCTCCTTATAGCAACACCAGAGGTTTTTTAAACTTTGCTTGTGTTTTTAAATACATCACAACTGTACCCTTGGCTCTCTTCTGATACAATAAATAAAGGAAATTGGATTGGATGGCCCTTGGGTGTCTTCCAACTCTAGGATTCAACCCTACACCAAGCTGGCTCACTCTACTGTAGTAGAACAGATGCAAAATGCATTCCTTTGTGCAGCAAACATTCAAGTGCAAAGGAGGACTCCTGGCTCTCTTCTTGAAATAGATCTCAGTTCATTATTACAGTTCATGCTTTGCACACATGAAGTCCCTCTTGAAATCTCTAAATAGCAAAAGATCAGAGACCAGGCAATGGCAGAAGTTTTTCCCTCCCCCGAGCCTCTCCAGAGAGCAGCCTCTGGTCATAAAAGGCAAGACTGACCTAAATGGGCAAATTGTTAGATGTGCTATAAAGCAGCTGCCTATGCTATGCCACTGATCATAGGAAGCCACAAGTGCTTCCTCTTATCAGTCCTAAAGCTCCCCGTTCCTTTTCATTGGGCATGGCACGGCTTGACCAACGTATTAAAGCAAGGATCCATCAGAGTGGTTTTTCTTTCTTTCTTTAATTTAGAAATATTAATTTTCATTGGCTTTCTAAATTACATGCAACATCACAATACAGTAACAAATCACAATTTAAAAAATTGCCTGATCCTATTCATCCTCCTTCCCCTTCCCCAAGTCACAGAATCTTTACAGATTACTTTTCCATGTCGTTTTACTGGATTCCAAATGTCTCATGAAAATCCACACATCACGCAGCCCAGCAATAGCAAAAAGGTCATAAATATAGTGTTCTGGAACAGCTGTACCAGGAGCTCCAATTCTGTTTGCTTTGCATTAAATGTTTGTTTGCAATCCCAGGCTTGGGATTTTGCAGCAGGGTGGCTTCCTGTTATAGTTTGCAATCATAGGGCAAGCCACCTGTCAATTATCATTAGGTTCCCTGGTCCCGCCCCTTTTTGGGGTTTTGGAGGGAATAGGAGCCTTTTTGGTTCAGTTCTCACAGAGAAGCCTTTCGCACAGGACATAAAACGAAGAGCTCCTGTAGAAAGCTTCGTCTTCTACAGCTTGGCCGGGGTTATACCGCCCTACAGCTTGGCCGGGGAGAAAAGGCCCACAGCTTGGCTGAGGGACTTCAGCCAGCCATCACCTAAACCTGGACTCCTTCTTTTCCCCTTGAAGTTTACAAAGCTCTGCTTGGTAAGGGTCACTCACAGAAGCCAGACGGTACCGGGTGCAGGGGCTCCACGCCAACAGAGGCAAGTACAGACTGCCCAGATTAGAAGTTAAGGATTTCCCCATTAGTTAGTATACAGTTAAGAAGATTGTGCCTGTTCCCAGTGAACAAGATTGCAAGAGCCAATAAACTGTTAAGAAAGCTTGTAAGTACCTGTTTGTTTTCATCAATAAAGAACTTTGTTGGATTTACTTTAAGCAATCTAAAGACTCTGTTTGGGGGAATCTAAGGGCCTTTAATCTGAGGCAGCCCCGGCATCCCGTTGGGCACACAGAATTTATGTCCTGTCTA